GGCGCCGAGGGTGTCGGGGGCAGCCGGGGCGATGCGGGGACTGAGGGGCCTCAGTGCGGGGGGGGAAGGACCGGAGCGGGGTGTTGCGGTGCTGGGGGGGTTCGGTGCAGCGTCGGTTGTTGGGAGATCCTGGTGCGGGGGCCGGTCGGTGTGATAGCAGGAAGGGGACCAGTGTGGTACTGGGGGGAGCTTGGTGCTGAGGGGGAACCCCGTACCAAAACGGGGGTGACCAGTGCAGTGCTGGGGAGGAAACGTGGAGCCAGGGGGGTCCCAGTGTCGGGGGGGGCTGGTGCAATAGCAGGGAGGGAACCGGTCCAGTGCAGAGGTCTAGTGGGTTGGGAGCCTGGGGGGGACACGGACGGACAGTGATGCGGGTGCAGGGCACTGACTTGGCAGAGAGACCCCCCAGTATCAGGGAAAAGGGCAGTGCCCCCCGGGTGAGAGCCTTCCTCCGCGGCACAGACAGCTCTGCGGCCTCCAGAGGTGCCAGGCAGGGAGGAGCGTCACCCCCCAGGCTGGGCCTTCGTTGCCTCTTGCTTGGCAAAGGGGGGTTGTGTCCCTCCTGTTCCAGCGCAGGGACCCCGTGGGAGGCCGGCAGGGCCAGCTCGTGGGAAATAAAACCCTGTCTCTGCGGTTAAAACCTGGAAGAGGCACCGAGAGATCCCCAGACCTCGCTCCTGTCCCCGATGTCTCTGTGCAGCCAGGCCAGGTCCCCGCTGCGCTGGGCTCTCAGCAGCGTGTCCGTTCCGTTGCAGCCGGGTCCTGACGAGAGGAAGTCGGAGCTGCTGCCCGCCGGCTGGGAGGCCAACAAGGAGGTGTATACGCTGCGCTACAAGTCCGTGGACGATGCCCGCGAGCTGCTGCTGAAGGCCATCATGGTGGAAGACAGCATGATCCTCAACGTCATGGTGAACGCCCGCGCTGGCCCCTGGGGGTTTGGGGTCCTTTGGGAGCAGCGGCTGCACAGAGCAGCAGGCCCAGCTTCTTAACTTTTTTGCTGTTACTGGTTCTGCCTTGCAGCGTTTGTCCCTCAGGATGGGGCAGACCCGGGGGGTGTTAGGGGCTGCCTGTGCGGCAAAGCTGTGGCCTGGTGTGAAGCTGGTCGCACGCTGGCTGCATTGGGGCAGCGAGGCCGTTTGCCTTGCACACTCTGGCCCAGGAGTTGCCCCATTTCTGACCCTTTCCTAGCTCAGGACTTTTCTGCAGTTCTCCTGTCCCCAGCAAGCACCTGGCCAGGCTGGTTTTGCTCAGTCTTTCACCCTTCGCAGCCCGAAGGGGGGAGGGAGCAGGGAGAACCTTGCTATACACAGAAGTTTGCTCCTGGGGATTCGGGCACAGCACAGGGACGTGGCAGGAAGCTGGTGAGCTCATTCTTTGTGTCCCAAGCCCCCGGCTGTGGCTGCTCGTTCCCTCATTCCCAGCTTTCCAGGCTGCTGACTCCACGCCTTACCTGCCTTTTGCCAGGATCGCAGTTCTCAGAAGGTGGCAGACGTGACCTTGACAGTGGCCAATTACATCAACCCAGAGCACCTGGATGATTTCCACAAGTAATCTCACTTCTTTTGTATTTTCTGTAGAAAATGTCTCACCGTCATGGGGAGGGGGGCAGAGACCAGGTTATGAGGAGCCTAGAGGACTTTTCTACCCAGTGCAAACCCTGGGGATGGACCAGCCAGCTCTGAAATACAGCCAGAGCTCCCTCCCGTGCCTCCCTCTGCCCTGCTGGTGGGCAGGAGAGATTTAGGGGATAGTGGAATCATGGGTCAGAGCCCAGGGGAGAGTCATCCCAATTGGGAACGGGCCAGCCCAGCCCAGCCCTTTTATTTCCAGAGCACTGCCTGCCTGTCTGTGCTGAGTGGACACTGTCCGGGGGTGCTACAGCTTCAACTGTGTCCCAGACACTCTGTGGCCTTGCTAAAGACCAGTGCCACTGTGGTTTCCTCCAGTCCAAACCGGTTGTGTTGTGATCACAGCACAAGGCTCAGTGACACCTCTGCCATCTTAAATTGGGGTGAGGGCTTTGGTGCCACTGTGTGCTGTTACTCTTTCCTGTCCCCTCTGTGTTGCCAGCTGGGGACGTGCTTTTACGCCAGGGATGCTTTTGGGCCTGGCCGTCCCCTCAGCACCCCTCTCGCAGCCTGTCCAGCACCTCCTGCCCAGGTGCTGTGGCCTCCCCATCCCACCACCTTCCCTCTCTTTCCTGCAGGCTGTACAAGAACACTGAGGAGCTGAGGACAAGGATTGCTTCGGGTATCATTGCTCCCCTCGGGGCCCCTGCAGAAAAGGCCAAAAAGGAGCCTGAGAAGAAGGATTCTGACTTGCATTATGACCCCCTCAGGGTCCCTCCCCGGCAGCCAGCAGGCACGAGAGCACCATCCTGGTGAGTGGGGAGCGGGTGACTGCTGACGGTCCTCCCTTAGCCAGGACATGGTTCTGGCACAGCTCTCCAAGCTACACCCCCGGTCCCCATCTTGCACACGTGGAACGAAGAGGATGCACACCCTCGCCAGGCAGTTTCAGCCTCGTTGGCGGAATGCTTGGGTTTGATTTCACTTGCTGGCTGCGGGATGGCCTGATTTGGAGCTGTGTGGTGGTTTGATGCTCCTTTGGCATCACCTGGGGATGTAGCTGCAGACCTTCTCCTTGCTCTCCTGACCCCGCTTGCCCTTTGAAACCCTTTGCTGGCCAAGCTGGGGAGAGTGGACACATGGCACTTGCTTCACTGTTGCTGCCTGGCCTCTCCCTGCCCCACCACAAGGGGGGGGATCCCCCCTCCCTCCCCTCACAAGCCATAATCCCCTTTGACTAGGAGTCAGAGACACTGCGGTGGCTCTGCCGCCTCTGGGGGACCTGCTGTGGCTTCTGCCTTGCGTGTCACCTCTGGGTTCTTTAACCCCGCAGCTGTCTGCTGGCGCTCAGGGTGCGAGATGCTCCTCGGGGAGGCCTGGGCAGACAGGCTGGAGCTGGGCACGGCTCTGAAACCCCGTTATTGGCACATGGCATTGGCAAGGAGCTGCGACAGCTGGCTGCAGGCTCACCGCCTCGCTGTCCCCGCACTCCTGGAAAGCCAGACACATTGTGCCTCTGGCTGGGACTATCTGGAGAGCCCGGCCTAGGCTGGCATTGCTCAGGCAGCCGCTGGCATGGAAACTCCCAGCGTCCACAGAGAGCTCCGGCCCGGAGCACTGGGAACAGCGGGCCCCCCCAGCCCAGGCAGCGCCCCACCAGCCGGTCTCCCCTTCGCTGAATGTCTCGCTGTGTTCTGTGTTTCAGGCCTTCCCCCTCAAGCCCCTTTGCTGTCGGTGGGGCAGACCTGGACCCTTTTGGGTGAGTATGGCTGGGAGAGGTTGTGCTTTGCATACCCGGGGAGCATCCCCTGCTCTGGGGGTGTGGGGGTGGCTGGGGACCTTCTCTGGAGTCCAGCGAAGTGTCTCTAAGTGCAGACAGCGATGGGACAATCGCTCTGCGAGTTGCAAGGGACCAATTGATAGTTGCTAAACCTCAATGTGGTTCTAATATTGTAATAAGATCCCGTCTCTTGCATAGATGATAGGTTGCAATCTGTGTCTGTTTAATAATCAGCTTGTATTCATTTAACATGCAGTAATGCCTTCAGTAAATCAAAGCTGAATACATCGTTAAGTGAATGTAAGCCTCTAATTTAAAATGTTACCAGCTGCTGTGTCTACAGCCTGGCAGTCTGGAGAAGGGGAGGCTTAAAGCCGAGTCCACAGATTCTCCAGTCCTGGTTGTGAGCCTCCCGGCTGTCTGAGGCACTCGAGAGCTCCTGGCCAGGAGCGGGGCTGTCTGGGGCACTGATCCTCACAGATACATCCCTGTGGCTTTGCTTTGGTTGGACAAGGAGAACCTGTCAGACTCCATCCCAGTTAAAAGCACGTAGTCAGACAAAACCCAGCTCTCAGAGGCGTGGCAGAGTGTCCTTCGGCCCAGGGGAGCCCTCACTGGAACCGCTCTCCTGTGGGGATGGCATTTTTTCCCCTCTTACAAGAGTTGATTCTCTGTGGGTTGGACCAGCTGAAAACATCCTGCCTGGCTGAAAGCAGAGGCCTGGAGCCTGGGAGGCTGAAAGGAAACCAAATAGCATGAAGAGAGGGGGTTTAGTTGGGGCGGGGGACTCTGTTTCTCTCGCTGCCTCCAGCCCTTCGTCAGAAGTTTCTCTGTAAATGACAAAAAAGATCGTAAATGGAAGCAGATTTGTGTGCTGACACCTGCCAGCGCTGGGGCTGGAGACCCAGACTCCCAGGCATATGCTCGTGGGGCCTGGCTGTCCCGGGGCGCTTCGGGCAGCCGGCCTGGCCTAATGGAACTCATTAACGCAGTTGTTAATGACTTGTATGATGGCAGCGGTGTCCAGAGGCTCCAGCTGAGTTTGCACAAAGCCGCCCGTGAGGAATGGCACTCACAGCGTGGGGCAGCTCCGAGGAACCGCCGTGGTCAGCAAATGGCTTCCAGGCAGCGCTTTGGAAAAGCTCTTGCAACACTGCAGGGCAGGACCTGCTGCTCGCCCGGGGAGCAGAGGGTGGGGACGGGAGGTGTGAGCCGGCAGCGAGGGCCGGCGGGTCCAACGCGTCCCCCCACAACGGCCAGTGGCCTGCCGGGACCTACTAGCCATTATTGATGCCCTAAACGGCTCCTCACAGGAACTGGGGGAAGAGGGAAGCTGCCTCCCCGCTGCCCCGAGTGTCTGGGGTGGGGTGGGCGAGGGCTGTGGCTTCCCTCTGTGGGTGTCCCTGTAGGCTTTGGGGTTCGCTGGCACTGCAGCGCCCCGGAGTTGGGTGTTTGCTGGTGCCCTGACTTACACACGTGCTTTGCAGCCGTAACACTCCCACCTTAGTGCGAGGACGAGCTGTGAGCCGCATCCTGCCCTCGAGCTGGTGCTGCGGCGTGCGCAGGCGGGTCTGCAGGGTGACCCCGGGCAGGAGCAGGGTGCGATGCTTTTGGGTTCCCTCCTGGCGCAGGCAGCAGCCTAGGGGTGGGCTCGGGCTGCCTCAGGAGCTGGTGGGGACAGAGGGACAGCAGGGCAGGGATCTGGCGTGCCCCGGCGCTCTTACACACATGGATGTGCACACGTGAAGGGCTGTCTGTCTGTCTGTCCGTCTGCCTGCTGCGGGCTCGCCTCGCCCGTGTTGCAGCAGGTCAGGGGTGTTTTTCCGTGTCGGCTTACCCCAAGGTTTGGCACAGGGATGTGCTTTGCTCCTCTCTCACTGGTGCCAGGCTCAGCTCCGGCTCTTTCCTCTCCCCAGAGGTCGGAGCGGGGGAATGATCGTGGATCCTCTCCGGTCTGGCGTCCCGCAGCCCGGCATTGACCCCTCGTCGGGCATCCCAGGCCGGCTTCCCCCAGGAGCGGTTCCGCCAGGCGCCAGATTCGACCCCTTTGGCCCGTTGGGGGCTGGAAGATCCGGGTAGGTATTTTGGCCGTGCCTGGTATCCCCGACCGCTCTCTGGGCTGTCCCTGCATCTCCTGGCTCATCCCTGTTGCTGCAGGACTGAGCTCTTCTGAATTTCATTCCAGGCCAGATCCCGACCACCTTCCCCCTCCAGGCTACGACGACATGTTCATGTGAGGAGTCGCCGGCTGCGGCCGGAGCGCTTCTCCCTCTTCGGTGGACTTTGATCTTTTCAGCAGCGTTTTTCTCCTCCCCGTTTGAGGCCGTGTTCCCCGTGTGCCAGACCAGCGACGGCGGTTTCCCAGCGTGCAGAACAAGAGGCAGTAGGTTGTTTCTTCCCGTGCTCCTCTGAGGGCGCCCGGCCGAGCAGGTCCTGCCCCGCGCGGGGTGTAGTGCGGCGCTGCGAGAAGGGGCCGGGTGCTGTGGGGTTTCCTCCTCAGCTTCTCCCCGGGTGGCCCCGCTTTCACTGCAGGGGTTACGCGAGCAGCCGGCGCTGAGGAGGGAGCTGGCTTCTTGCCTCTCCGGGCACGGCGGAGCGGAGCCCGGCACCGAGCTGCGGCCTTTCTGGGGGTGCGTGCGGGGGGCTCGCTCGGCTGTGGGTTTGCTTTGCAGGAGGGGTTGACAGGAACACATTTCCTCTGCCAAAGGGAGGATGGGTGAATTCTGCGTGGCTCAGGCTCCTGAGCTTTCTGGAAACCCCCTCCCTTCCCCGCAGCTCCCCCCTACCCTCCCAATCGTTTAATTTTGGGGCTGCAGCTTGTCTGTCCAGTCAAGGATTCACGCTATTTCTTTCTTTCTCGTGGTTTGATTTCTTGGAAGGATGTTCATGAGATTGAAATAAAAACCTGCCAGCAGTGCTGTGTTGGTGCTTGGGCCCCCTTTGAGAAGGGAAGTCCCAACGCTCTGCCCAGGCTGCGCCTGCCCTCCCCGAGGCGGAGGATTCATGCTGGGAACCTGCTTTGTACCTTCCCCAAAGCAGTGGCGCTTTTTCCGAGATGATGTGTCTGTATTAAGAAAATTAAGTGGAGAACAGCCCGGCCCTGGCCCTGGCTGTGCTCCTTGCAGTAATTGGCTCTCCGGGGTATCGGCTGCCGGCGCTGCGCTGCACGCAGCCGCGCTGGCGTGAGTAAAAAGGGGGAAGTGATCCCCCCCGTCGATCTCTTTTTTTTTTTTTTCCACAAAGACTTTTTCCTTTTAAAACCCCTTTTCCTACAAACATAAAGCTGAGTTACGGCGTGTGCCGGCCCGGGAAGGGTGGAGGCTGTAGAAAGTTGGCACTGGGGGCAGCGGGAGCATCCCCTGTGTCTCCCCAGGGCTTGTGTGTGGCCCCTACTCGTGTTTCCAAGAGCTCTTGTGTGGGCCCAGACCCCATGGGGACGCGCTGTCGCCCCTGCGTGTCCCTGGGGTGTGCAGGGGCCGGTCCCAGGGGTGCACGGGGCGGGTGGTGGCAGCTCTTGCAGTACGGGTGGGACAGAGGGCGAGAGCTGGGGCTGGGCAAGGTATCGCTGCTGCTCATCCCCTCTGTCCCCACCGGCTAGCCTGGGCCCATCCCCAGCTTTGCCCCGGGGAGAAGGGAGCCCCCGACCTCACTGCGTGGGGCTGAGCGACCCAGGGTGCTGGGGAGAGGGAATGGCTTTGGCCTTATCAGCGGGCCCCCCCTCTGCGGGAGGCAGCTGTTTGCTGCGCCTGAATTAATCGCGTTCTGCAACCTTTCGGGAGGGAGGGACGCAGCCGGCTTTGATGGGGCTAATTAAAGCGAGCCAGCGCTGTGAGAGCCTGTGCTGGGTCCTGATAAACAATCTTTTGTCTGCAGCGCTCAGCCCCGGCGGGTTCGTGGTGCAGCTGGGGGAGCAGGTGGGAAAAGAAGACAGGGCTTCAAAGAGGGCGAGTGCCCGGCGGCGAGCCGTGCCCGAGCCGCGGGGCTCCCGGCTGGACACTCTGCTGAGAGGATGGGAAAAGGGGGGTCAGAGGGTGGTGGGGACAGGAGAACATCCCTGTGGCTGGCAAGGGGCCACTGTGGAGCTGGCCAAGGCTTCCGGGCGTGTGTCCCGGTCCCGGCCGCTGCGTTAACGTGCGAGGGAGCAGAGCAAGCCACGTGCCTTGAGTTGATGTTGTGGGGAGGCTGTGAGGAGCGGCTGGGGCTGGCGTGGGCGCTCTTGGCAGAGGCACAGCCCTCCCTGTCGCGTTGGAAGGAAGATGCTGGGTTATTGGGAATGGCTGGAGATCCCCGGAGAGTCCTTGAGGCCATCTGCCAGCCCGTCCAGCCGCGCCTGCCCTGGGCGCTGCTCTGATCCGGGGAACCCGCGGGCATCGCACAGAGGGGAAACAAAGCAGCCCCCGTCCCTCTTTGCTCCCCCTAGCACAAATGGAGACACCCCCAAAGCTGCGGAGCAGGGGACTGGAGGCCTCTGAGCTGGGGGGGGATGAGGACATGCTGCCTGCCACCTGCCTGCCCTTGCCCAGAGCCTGTGGCCGGTACCATGGCACTGCCACCCTATGCAGACCCTTTGGCAGGAGCCTTCGCCGTGCTGCTGGGCACAGTTCCCCCGCTCCCCCCCAGTGCCTGTCCTGCTCCTTCCCAGTGCCCATCCGACACCGCCCAGTGCCCATCTTTCTCCCCCCCAGTGCCTGTCCCACACACCTCAGTGCCTGTCCTGCACCTCCCACCTCCTCTGACAAAACCAGTTTCTCCCACAGAAGCTGAATGGGATCCAGAGATGCATGCAGGGGTGAAACTCTCAGGCTGGTTTCACTGCACCTCCAGGGAATGGGGGTGTGACATTTTCTGGGGTATCTCTAAGCTTCCTCCAACCCACCCAGCAGCACCCAATTCTGGTGGGTGGGTGAAGCCCGCAGACCCCCCTGTTCTGAGGGGCTGGGGACCCTCATCCTGCCCAGGCTGTGTGGCCTCAGCCCCCCCTTTCCCAACCAGATTTTTTCTCACCACCTTGGAATATTTTTGGTTGTTTTCTGAGAACTACCCATCACAGGGCGCTGCACTGCTCCTCCCCAGCGCGCAGCGGGAGCCATGAAGGGACAGTCAGGGAGGCGTTGGGGGGCAGCTGGCTGCAGCACGGGGCAGAGCAGGCAGCTCTGTGCCCCCCTGCCACAGCCCGGGGGGGTCTCTATACAGAATCAGTCCTGGAGCTTCTTTAATGGTGCTTCTTCCTTCACCTTCAATAGATCTTGTCACTTGAGAGGTTTTCACCCCAATCCCGCAGGTCCGGGACAGCCCAGCCGGGTGCAAGGTCGGCCCCTTCCCGTAGAGCCTCTGAGCAGCCTCGTGCTCTAATCCACGGGAGCATTTGTCACTCCCACCTAAAGCGGGTGCTCAGCAGGTGTAGCCTCCCACCAGGCTCAGCCTTTCCACCTAGAAAGCCCCTTCCATTTTATTTAAAATGACAAAAAAAAAATTGACGAGGAGCATTTCTTCCTCTAATGGGTTTAATTCCTAAGCCAGGCTTGCAGGGCCAGCGCTGAAAGTTGCAGGAGGGACGTCTGCCTTCCCTTGTGAACAGCCCCCCCAGTTCACCCCACACGAGAGCCTTCCTCCCCTCCCTCCTGTGCCGTGCCCCCCCCTGCCCCAAGCTCAGCCCCCCCATGACAACCGTGATGGCATTTTCCCCCCTCTGCCCTGCTTGCGCCCTTCATTTTTGCCCTCACAGGTCCTGCTCGCAGCCGTTCGGCCCAGGGACGCGGGGAGAGGCGATGCCTGGTGGGGGACAGCGGCGTTCATTCCCCCCGTTTCACCCCAAGCACGAGTTAGTCCCAGAGAGAGGTGCCTGGGTGCCGGGGCTGCGGGAGTGAGGCCACGCGAGGTTGTTTCCCAAGGCCCTGCGGTAAATGTGGAGCGTGGAGGGGTGACATGGTGACAGGGAGAGGGACGCATGGCCCTGTCAGAATCCAGTCCTGCCGAGGCTCCTTTGTGGATCACTAGAGATGGAATTACGACACAAGCGAGGTCAGGTATCGGTTAGGACACTATTTTATAGTATAAAAGGTCAGAGTAACCCTTCAAGAGAGAAACGGGGAAGTAAGAAAAATGCCAGAGTTTGTTTCAAGCAGAGGCTAGTGGCCACTGCGGGGCTCCAGCGACGTCTCGCCGTGTCCGTCTTCTTCATTCGTGGTGGGGGGGTCCGGAGACAGCCACCTCCTGCCTTGGGCTTCGCCTTTTATGCGGTTTTACCGCAGTATGT